TTTTTATTGGTTTTTTGCAAGTCAAAGATTTCATTGTCTTTGTCGGTCAGTTTATTTTGCAGATTTAAGATTTCTTGGTCTCTGGCTTGAACCTCTTCTTCATACTTTTGTTTTATTCGGGCTTGTTTTTCGGCAATTTGAGCTGGGGTTAATTTTTCTTGTGGATCTGTCATAGGAGAGTTTTTAAGAATTTGGGTTTTAAGTCTGGTTTTTTACGAGAACCACGAACGAGAGAGGGACGGGGGGATATATGGGGTCGGGAACACCCCCAAACGAGGGGTGGGGAGGTTTAGGGATTTTGGGTTTTTTTTTGATTTTTTTAAGGATTTTTTTTGGAGGTTTTAAAATTATAATATAGATAAAATGGACAGTTAGTCCGGATGATGCTGCCGTGATTTGACGGGGTTTAAGAAGAAAAGTTCTGTTTATTTTTATTACTCAAACAACCGGAAAAATAAAAAAGTAGTAGAAAAAGTAAGCTAATAGAACAGCACCAAAAGGAGAGCCTTTTTTATTCTGCCACTTTCTATCTGAAAGCCTTGAAAATCTTTTTGTTTTTTTCTTGTAATGTATAACGCTTAACCAGTAAAGAAAGTTAATTGCAAAAAAAACGGGAACAATAAAAGGAAAAGCAATTACTCATAGTATCCATTTTGGCATTCTATCAACTTTCTTCACAAATTCATTTAATTTGTTCCTTGGAAACTTTAATTTCCTTGGCCAATTCCTCAGGGCTAATATTTAAAGGAATTAATAATTCTTCTCTTAATATTTCTCCAGGGTGAATCGGAGGAAGTTTTTATTCTTGCCATAATAATTTAGTTTTTAGGTTAATATAAATAATTAAGACTTTTCCCATCCGGGGAAAAATGTTTTTTTAGTTAACATTAGTTAAAAATTGAAGTACTAAAAATAATTTAAAAGCGACAAGCAAAAAAGTCTTTATTTTAAGCGAGTGTTAAAAAAATAGTTTATAGGCTGATTTAGCTCAATTTGGTAGAGCAACCGCCTTGTAAGCGGTAGGTTGGGGGTTCGATTCCCTTAATCAGCACCATTTATTTCTTTAGATTTACTAAAAAAGTCAAACGGGGCTGGCGGAATGGTAGACGCGCCAGACTTAGGATCTGGTGCCTTAAAGCGTAAGGGTTCAAGTCCCTTGTCCCGTACCATTTTTTAGAAGAAAACTATAAAAAAAAGAAACTAAAAGGACATATTCGTAATGACAATAAAAAACATGATTTTACTCTCTTTCGAATGTCTATGACATGACTAGAAAAATATAATGATTTGCAAAAATCAAAATTGAGAAGAGCAAACAAGCCAAACCGATGATATTAAAGAAAAAAGACAAGTTTTTCTCCAACAAAAGCGAAAGATAAAAAAATCACAAACGCTTCTCTAATAACCGGAGCAACATTAGTTGGTTTAATTTTAATTTTTGCTCTAATTTTCTATTACTGAGAGAAAAATAAAAAAAAGAAAATAATTATTTTCCCGGGCAGGGAATAGGGAATAAGGAAATAAAAGATAATATGGAAAGTAAAAGAAAACATTTAATAAAAGTTTTATATTTACGGAATATCTTTTAGTATTTTTGGTATTTTTCCTGTCGGGGAAGATCATCTTAATCAGAGATTAACGGAGGGGTGATCGTAATTGCTAGAATTACCATTTTAATTATGCCCTCCCTGGAACCAAGGAAAAAAGATTACGACATTTTCCTCCAAAGTTTAGCTTTCCTTGGCTCCCAGCAGGGGATAATTATTTGATTTCTTTAAGGTCTAATCATAAAGACCATTATTTAAAGCAAGCTAAACAATATCAACTTCCTTTTTTACCTTTTCGGCTCATTTGATTAAGGTAAAATATTTGCTGGCAATTCTTACATTTCATGCTTAATCCTCCCTTGTCCCTGATAAAGAGTTCAATGGTAAACCTGACAAACATAACGATTAGGTAAATGGATGGTTAGAGCATCTTTTATTTTTTCTTGAGAGCAGAAAGTATATTGGTTTTCAGGGATGTTTTTTTGTTGGCAGCTGAGGCAGAAGGGTTTTTTGACGGAGTAATGGTGGGATCAGAGTTTAATTGGCTCAACCTGCTTGCCTGTCTCAACCTTCTCTATGGGTTGGGACATTTCCCGGGCTGTCTCAACCTTTTTCTGTGTCTCAACCTCACTATTAACTTTTTTTAGTGTCTCAACCTGTCCCAACCTAATATTTTCTAATTGGTTTGTCTCAACCTCCGAAAGTTTAAATTGTCTCAACCCCGTCTCAACCTGACTTAGGCTAGGTGTCTCAACCCGGGATTGATTAATTTGTCTCAACCTAGTTAATTTCCTTCTTTCGGTTCTTTTTTGGTTTAGTTTTTCCTTGTGGGCTTGATAGTAAGCTTGGTATTGTTCTTTAGTGAAAGGCATTATTTCTCTCCTCCCTTCACTTCCTTATAACCAACTCCGTTCATTCATAAGTTCCTTGGATTTTATAAGGACACTTAACTGAATGT